AAAATCACTTTCTGCTAATACTTTTGACGATGATTATTTAAGGGGCTTCTAAACTACTCATTTGTGACAGTGGGTATGCTGGTAGGGGAGTGGCCATAAAGCCAAAATTTTTTTATAATCCTTATCCCAGAGCGGGTTTTGTGTCTGGAATTCTTGAGCTGGGAAAGTAGTCCTGCTTCCCTCACCCTGGCTGCCACAGGCACAGCCGGGCAGTTACAACTGGGGACTCATACGGTCGGATTGTTCAGTAAACGTCTTCCAAAAAAGAAGGTGAAAAATAAAACTTACTACTGTCCATCTGGCAAATATAGCTTTTGTTTTGCTGGCAGTCAGTGTTTTCCCAGTACCCTGCTTCGTCTACAAATCTTTTCGTCATTGCAATACAATCAGTCTAGGGAAAAATTAAAAAAGAAAATTATAGCTGATAAAGTGCAAAATGTCTGGCAAAACAATAGAAATAGGTTTGAGGAAACAAAATTAATAGCTTTCTTTTCTAATTTTCTGGCTCTTTTTTTCATTTATTGTTTCTTGGAAATTAAACATGTTATGTATCTTAAGCAAATATACTGTCCTTGGCAGATTACTGCAAGAACTTCTGTCAGTTTATTAAAATTTCTTGGAGTGCACCAAAGCTATTTTTACTATGTAGCTTATGGTACTCTGTACTGAATTTGTTGAACTTTCATTTGGATTAATGCTGTACAAGGAGAAACAATAAAACAAAGTAAAAATCCCAGCTAGTAATACTGAATATTTTTGGTAAAATCTAATAATTCTCATAATTTTAATTAATTCTAGCAGTAATTATAATACAGCACTCCTTTTCTGCAGTTCTAGACTTCTGCAAAGGAATGACAGTAAGTATAGACTCTAAACAGGCCTATTAATCTCTGGGTACAGCTTTAAACACTTGATCTCTGAAATATTCAGTTGCATTCTGCATTAAACCATTGAAATATAGGATCCTAGCAGAGACAGAAGTTAGGCTGGTTAGTCTAACCTTGAGTATGTTATCTAAGTTATGCATTTTCTGATTTTTTTCTGTTTACCTGTATTGTAATATAGTTCCAGTCAAGTTTTATGTATTTATCTCTAAATGGGAATTGTCTTGCCCACTTTGAATAATCAAAAAAGCTTCCGTCTGTCCAAAGATATATACCCTCACTGTTAATGTCATTCAGTCCGATCCATGTTTCATTGGCAACATCCTTTAGGTTGAAGGTGAAGAAGGCTATTAAAAAAAAAAAAAAATCAGACAAAGAGAGTAGCTGAAGAGTTGTTGCCTTTCTTCAAATTCAGTGTAAACCAAATTCCAAATAAAACAACCAATCCACTTTTAAAAACATTGGAAATATCAAGTTCAGTATTATTAAACTATGTGTTAGTGGTAAAAGATAAAAATTACAATGGGTAATTGAGCTGAAGCAGTTTGACTTCATTAAAAAAAAAAAAAGGAAAAGTTTTTTAGATAAAAATGATATAAACTTCTTGGAAATATTATAGAAATTAGGGCTAGAAGGGACTTCAAAAGCATTAATCAGTCTTCCCCAAGGTAGCATCAACTGCATATATGTCATTTCTGATGGATGTTTGTTTACTGTCTAACTTGAATACCTGTGGGCATTTCATTACTATGAACTGTTACTATTTATCCCATCTTCCAAGGCCATGGGAACAGATTATTGCGTTCCCTCCACATGACGCTTTTGCCAAGAGATGGGAAGTATCGTAATATCTCACTCCAGTCTTCTCTCTGGATCAAGCAGCTCCGGGTCTTCCTTCATAGGTTATGCTATTTAGATCTGGAGGCTAGTTCGGCCTTGTCATTAGGTGGTGAAATGTGCTGGCTTCATACTTAGCGCCAAAAGGTTCAGATGCCATACCTTGCACTTGCTCATTGTGTATAGAGGCCAAATTTCCCCCTAATTCTATACAGGCACTTCTTGCAGAGTGCCAAGTCAGTCTCTCTTCTTCTCTGGATCCAAATATTTTATAACACTGCAGGGAGAGTAAAGGATTAGACAAAATTTCAGGTCTCAAAGAGTATTAAAACCATTGTTTTTGATTAATTCAGTTCTAGTCCCTGCATGTAAAGAGCAGCAGATGGGGGATCTGCTGAAATGTGAATACTTTCAGCCAGCAGAAGGGAGACCCAGCTAATCACAGCGATGCGTGTGCAGCACTTACAAACCTGTGGGCTGTCCAAGATTAGTGCTGGGCAAGAGCGGGCAACCTCCAAAATCTTTTGAGGAATTAAGTAGATATCCGAGGTGCACGGGTAGAGATTTCGGGTCACATTACTGAAAAGTAGAATTTTGAGGGACTGAAACTATTTCCTGATTGGGAACATAATTTTGGGCAAGCATCTCTCAGGTCAAGTTCTTTCAGTTATATACCAGACTTAATGCTAAAGCCTGAGCTTGTATGAGCACTCAGCATGAGTGGAACAGTATCAGGAAGAAGTACTCTTTTGTACCATGTATTAGTACCCACGGGGATTTTTCCTGAATACCAGTATAAAAAAATGTTTTTGTGGTTGTGTATGTTCTGAGGGACAGAAGACATGGTTTTTAACTGGCATATGCTGCTTCTCCTTTCTCACGCCCTTTGAATGCATAAGAACTTTTCTATCGATTGCACTGTAGGTTTGATTTGTGGTTTTCATTTGTTGGTTGGGGTTTTTTAAGTTCATATGGCCAGATGTACTTTTGCTTAACTTAGCAAAAACCAATGCTTGCTTGTTTTCTGTATTTGATTTGACATTTACTGCTGTTTGTGTTACTCAACTTAAGATGAGTTGTGATAGCCGATTACATATGAAAAGTGTGACCGACCTTTCGTTTTGTCATCTCTGTGTTACTCAGAAAAAGGGGCTTATGCTTACAGGTAAGGATAATGGAACAGGATTTCCATGCAATAAGTATGTCTAAAATAAACAGAAAATTCTAGAAACTGAAAAAGTAACTATGGCTAAAGGCACATGGACATTTACAAAAATTATAACTTAAACATTCAAATTCACCTCTTTTTGAGATTTAGATATGGACTTGCCAACATGAAAATTGACTACACTGCTAATTAGAATACCATTTAATAAACTGGTGTATAAAGTGAGAGAATTTATATAGTGAGATAAAAGGGATAGTTGTTTTCTCTGCTTATAGCAAATCTGCTAAATATGGCTGAGATTTGTTACTGCACCTTATTGTTAAACAAAAGCCAGGTTTCAGGACATCCTCCCAGAGGTGGAAGTACAGTAGGAGCAAATCCTGAGTAAGTTGAATTGTGCCTTTCACAGATGAAGGCATTTTTCACAGCACAGCTTATATCTTTCCAAAAGCCTGTAAATAAATGGAATACAGAGAATCACTGTCTGAAACTCTCGTACCAGCAGTCAGCCCCAGGCAGTATTCATAAAGCACAAGTGAAACTTTCCGGAGGCAGGTGAAACAGTTGCCATGTACACATTTACCCAAGTACACTCCTCCTTCCTCTGTGGTATGTTCGTCTCCTAATAGTGATGGCGTGGTTTTAAACCTCAGCATACTTGTTATGAAAATCTGCCAGTATTGTTCAGCTAGCTATTTGTGGGGTAGCCTCAAATTTAAATAGGTAGCAAACATTTTGGATTTTGATGCTAAATTTTCAACCAAATATTTCTTGTTTCTATTTTACTCACCAAAATCTTTTGACATTATCACACAGTTTTCATCATTATTCGCAAAATTGGGTTCGTTTGGAGCCCAGGCGACGTAGTTCACTGGGGTCTGATCCAGCCAGCTGAAAGGAACGAGGGGACAGTGGCAGCCGGACAGACATCTCCAGCAGTCATTTAGTTACAAGGTCTGTTTAGGTAAATCGCTAAGCAAGGTATTAGCAGTGACCAGAGGGCAAAGGCTCTACATATACTGGAGAGAAAATATCCACAGCATTACTGCTGCTTCTCATCTGTTTAGTACTATCACATTCAAGTCCCATCAGCATCCCATTTTGCCAGAGGTTGGATAAACAATGTCATACTCAAAGGGAAGGCTTCTTATGGTCTGGACAAGACTGAAACCCCAAGATCTCATGGACTTCCCTTTCATCCCAGAAAGGTGTCCTCCTTCCAGCCTTCTACAAACAGATTTCTACAACAGGTTCCTACCAGCAATTTCGGAAAGCTGTTGGGTGAGATGTTGCTTACACTTCTTCCTTCCAGCTCACATAACTTGAACCACTGGGATTAGTCTGATTAAACCCTTACAACCACATTTTATCAAAACCTCCTGGGCTTTCTCTGTAGCCATTGGAGAACTGGTCAGAGTTAATCTCATCCTAAGGTTGATGTCTAAAATGGATCAGGTAAATAACATCCTAAAATTAGCTGCTTCTCCTCACTACCTATGAAGGGTTGCTTGGGTGTTTAACTCAGTTCTCTCAGTGTAAGATACTAAGTGAAATGAATCTTAGCCATTAACTTCTATTAGTTTTGCTCTCCCAGATTTGGAAGGAAGACACATTGCTCTGCTTAAATATAGAAGAACTTAACACTTCTGATCTGAGACTTCTCCTGAAAACTATCCAGAGGTCAGTTGCACAACAGTTATTAACCTGTAAAATGAAAGCATACACAAATGCTCCCATAGAGCGAGATGAAATTGCCATCATTTGTTGTCCAGTTTTCCTTTACTCACCTGAATTTCTGATCAAAGCTGACAACTAACCCAATGAAATATGATTCCACTCTCAGCTTTGTGTAAATCTAAAACAAAAGTGATTAACAGTTAGGCGCTAAACAGTTCCTCAACATCAAGCAAAAATCTGAAAGCCCATTAACCATGCCTGTGGTGGTTTTTTTCCTATTTCTTTTTTTTTTTCCAGGATTTGAGCCTCAGACAAGAACATTGTAGGTTCAGACCCCGGTTTCAAACAGGCAACAGGGATATGGGGATCATCCTGGAGTGAGGAACGCACTGGACAGGAAAGCTATAATCACTGTGCTGAACACTATGTATCTTAGAAGAGGTAAGCAACCTGGGCCTGAACTTCCTTTGCTGCACTTTTAACATTTGCATGCCTTTTTCCTCTACCTACTGAAAGCAATAGTAATTTCTTTAAGGTCCTGAATAAATATATTGTTATATAAATAAGTAATGTAGGACAATAGCTCAGGACTCTAGCCTACCTAAATAGATAGGCTGTTCCCTTTCTTTTATCAGCTGCTCTGCTTCAGAATTCAGTTATAATTAATAGGCTCAGTGCTTACAAATTTCCATAGAAATTGTCTTTTGCTTTCATTCTCAATGACAACGAGATCTGCAAAGTTCTTCTGACAAATTCTCCGTGCTTCCTCCATATGGACACGTTCTTTGCTGAAATAGTACTGCTTATTTTCATATGTAATCCATCCATCATCTGTGGCTTGAAATTCTGAAAGATAAAGAATCATATATATTACATTCATATCTGGTCTGTACAAAGTCTGAAAACTATACAGTAAACTTTTCTTTGAAAGAGGAAAAAATCCTACCAAGTTTGTAGTTCGGTTCAGGTTTTAGCAGCGTACCTGTAAAATAAAAGGTCATCATAAGCAACATTCCAAATACAAAAAAATCCAGAGAGATTTGCTTTATGTAGTTGCAAATGCTTTGTATAATAGAGAAAAAAAAAGCAAACTATGCATTATCTAATGCATTTCCAAATTTTAGAGCATATACCACTGGATTAAATTAGAAAATATATATAATTTAGAAACATTTATCCAGTGAAAAATGTGTATTTTTAAAGCATATATATGTATCTCCAAAAGCACTGTATTAAACAATCCAGGATGTGCAGTAAACACTTTGTAAATGTAACTTAAATCAGTTTGAAAATTTATTTAGTGTTTTTACTTGGCATGCTATTATTAATTTTTTTATATTCATGTGACTAAAGCCAAACAACATAATCCAGCCAACATATTAAGTTCTCAAGCTTATCTACATAGTAGTAAACGATTCACAAGTACTAAAAGCTTAATGCTGGTATTTTGTAATACCACACATCATTTCCAGTGTCTTGATGCATTCCTCCTGTCCCGATGGCTTGGCTTTTACTAGGAAAGTCTGTTTTTAAGAGTCCTGGAGAGCCAGTAGATACCAAACCCCAGTTTATGATTACAGGATGAACCAGGAGGAAGCAATTAATCTGTTGCTATTCCCAGAGCCAGCTATAGCCCCTCAAACATAGCTCTGCTTTCATTTGGATGCCTGTTATTTTGTTCTTCACAAGGACTGCCAGTTCTGTTCTTAGCTTTCTCCATTTCTTCTCTGGTTTGATGGAGAGGAACACATTATTAAAGAAATGATAGGAACAGGTTAGATGAGAAATAAGCAAACAAATGAAAAAGCAATTAAAATTCTTTTGCTGGGAGCTTTTAAACATTTTCTTCTTAAGTATTTAGTGAAGAATAGAACTAAAATTATTCAAATGTCTTCATGATGAATTTACATACTTCACCTCATTTTGATTTTATTTTTTAATCCTAACATAACTATAACATTCCTTGTTTTTCCAAAAAATGGAGTATCTTATGTGTTTTAAGTGAGTATGAGGAAATTAACAGCTGAGCATCTCTCTTCTCACGTTGACCATCATAGAATCTAGATTCACAATAACAAGATCTAATTTTTTTTTTTTTTTTTCACTTTTGAAAGGTCATCTAGGATCAAGATAAACTGATCAGAGTCTTTATGTCATGGTTTCTGAACTCTCTGAGTAATCTCACCAAGAGCAGAGAGCCACATCTGTACAAAGCAGCGTGCTCAGGGCACCAGAAGGGGTTGCACAGGATGTACTGCTTCGAGCTGGTACACAGAAGTCAATGTTTTGATGGTGCATTTGCATGACTAATCTACCCACCAGGGAACAGTGATTCTTCCTTTTTGGTTAAGCAATTTTTCAATGTTAGCATGGTGCCTTATTTGCTGTTCAAGGGTAACGGTTTGTTGGCAGAGTCATCAAATATTAGATATACTCAGTGCTTTTTATATAACTGCTTCTCCCTTTCCCTCTCTGTTGTGCCTCCTACTAGTTCCCTGTGTGCATCCAACTTTCTTTTCATTTCAAGAAGCTTTTAAGAATCTCCTGCTCCATGGAGATGCATACAAGTACTCAGTTTACAACCAGGAAGCAGGGGTGTAAAAGTAGGACCAAGTAAGTAAAAGAAGTTCTTTCATTATTGGTTGGCACTTGGGGTCCTCAGCCCATGAAGACCCCGTTTCCTACTGGCAGACACCCCAATGCACGTCCATCAGGACCGTTTCATGCCCTGGCACCGGGTGCGGGAGGCCTGGCATTAGGGCCCTGCTTCCCAGGCAAAGCTGGTGGATGCAGGAGTCCTTCAAGGCTACACCAGCCTCTACTTTTGATCTCTTTTTCAGAGTTGCTGGTTCCTATAGCAACTGATCCCTCTCTTTGGTTCCCATTATTCGTTTCACAGTGGGAAGCAAAGCTTTTTTCTCTTTTGTACAGAGAACTCTAGTGTCCTGCATCTTTGGCTTTCCTGGGTAAGCCTGAAGTAGATAGAAATACAGGGAGGCAAGAAAAGGAGAGGTGATAAGTACCTTTGCCTTGCAAATTTATTCAAGCCATGGCAGAAAGAGATAAAACCAGAGATAAAGTAATAGGGACATCTTTAACTTCCTGCATCTGAGTACAATTGAAATATCTCGATTCATTCCTCCTGCTTTATGTGCTGCCTTCACTGCAACTGGTTTTAAAATGAACAATTCCCAGTATCTTTCTGCTTTTCAGTTTGTTTTTGAACTTGGGTTTATTGCTTCAATTAAATGGGGAAGTAATCATACCTTTTTTTGTTTCACAAATCCAATTAAGTAAATGTTCACAGCGCAAGTCGTTCCAGCGCATTTGGGGTGATCTATTGAACGTAACACAATGTTCAAGTTCTTCATGGTTGTTGGGTTCATCTTCATCCCAGTTCTCATAAATTATCTGTATTGGAAATACATCTCAATTACTATGTGATTCTAACTGAGTGGAAGTAATTGAGATTGCCATCGTAACACAATTTCAGGATCTCATCATCTCAAGTACCTTGTTTATGGGATCAATAGGAGTTCAGATAGGTCTGAGAGGGCTGTGAAAGTCATGCTGATCAGCTCGCTTTCCCCATTGCTTCCCAGAGAAGATTACACAGTATAGAAAAAACGTGTCTGATGGAGAAAAAACTGATGGGCGGAGGGAGTTGTGTTTATCTCGTTTTGTGAAAGACCTGACTTCTCTGTACTGACATACAGCAGTGGCCGGTCTGGTATGCTGTGAGGATCTAAGAGCATGGACTGTGGAAGATGGGATATAACATGGTACCAGGGATGAAACAGAGGCAATTTTGTACTTCCATTAGTGTGTTAAGACAATGCCATCACTGAGCGCTGCAGCTGTTCGGCTGATGGGTAAAGGGCTGCCATGCACCTGCCGAAGGTTTAAAGAGATTGGAAAAAAGGCATAAAAAGATGAAAATCTATATATTGTAAAGGACTGAAAGTCAATTAATATCCAGCAAACAAGTACTCACAGGGGATCCATCAATCCAGGCAAATCCGTCATCAGGATTTAAGAGAAACAACCCGATCCAGAAAGCCTGAGTGTGCAGTCCTTTATCCCTAAAACATATCATACAATATAGATACATAAGCGTAGAAAGAGGGGCCATGATATAAATGCTGGAAAGCATAAAAACATGCTGCTTTCCGTCACATCTGAATTGGGAGCTGCTCCTTCACTATTGGCCCATAGCCAGGCTCACCGCCTGCGCTCTGTCAAAGGGTTTGATAGTGCTCTGTGTTGGGACGAGACTTGCCATATTTGAATGCAAGTTAAAGGACAAGTGATGTGGCAAAGAGCTAGCTCAGGCTCCCATCCTTGTGGCTGCAACACAGCTCTTGGCTTGGAGTTCACAGACAGAGGCTTTAGCAAAACTAAAACATCAATAGAGAGCTATAATACAATTTAACAAATGAAAAATAGTGAAAATTATTTTTCATTTGCTTTGATTTTCTTCTTGGTGCTTCCTATGTAGTTTATTTAATAGTTCACGCTGTTTATCTTGTTGTACCTATGGACCAGATAAAATAGACTCCTATTTCATTCACTACATAACACGAAGTTTTCCCTCCACAAAGATTTCATGGTCTAAAGCAAAGAGACTTAACAGACAAGTAAAAACACGTTCAGCTTCTCACGGTACAGAGAAATAATAAAATGAAGAAAGGTGAGATCATGAAGACTTTTCTGTGTGATACTTTTAAATCTATTTGAGAAATTAAACCTCTATTCACCACTATGTGAAACAGTTTTGGTTAAATAGCTGTATGTTATGTGCCATTGAGATGTCTTGACATTACGGAATACAATCAGAATGTAGTGGTCTAATTTTGGGGGAAAATAATGGCATAATTTCTACATTGTGGGCAAGACATGGCATCTACATTGCTAGCAAAAATTAATTAAAATGAATTCCTGTTTGATTTCAGGAGTCTTCAGTTTATAGTCAGAAAATTTCCACATTAAGTCCTTGCATTTTGGTTTACATTATCCATTAACTCAAGTGTTTTTTTGAATGCGTTGATTAAAATATGAATTACAGCCAGTTAGAAAAAGGCACAGTTAAAGCTGAACATTTTATTGTCTCCCTTTTGGAGGAGGGACTAACATGTACAAAATTGATCAGATCTGGAGAACAGCCTTGGTAAAAACCCATGACGAAAATTTCTAAAATATCAAAGCCTCTTTGAAATATTCAAGATTTTTTTTTTTTTGAAAAAGCAATGTTTCAGGATGATATTTCCAGATCAAAAATGTCCATTTTAACTTAAAATTTGGTTGTGTTTATTCACTCACTTGCCCAGCTCCAGATATATTTTGAAGGAATTCTTGTGTAACACAGCATGGATAGGAAAAAGTATCGTTGTACAAGTACTCACGATGCTAATTGCCATAATAAAATTTGATCTTCTTTTGTATTGATTGTCACCAGATTTCCTCCTATTTCTCTACAGAATTCTTCAGCCTCAAACCAAGACTTCTTTTGGTTTCCCTCTCTCACAAAAAACTATTGAGAAAAAAAAAGTATAAATAAATTACTAAATGTGCAAAGTTTGGCATATAAAAATATATAATTGCCTATGTAATTAAAATCAGTATCACTTTCGCATCCCTTTATTCTTGAGTGAGACAACATAACGTCTGTCAAGACCTATAATATTAAACAGTAATGTAAAGTGTCTATTTTAAAATAAGGCAAGAGTAGCATAGGCATCTGAGGAAAACAAAAGGTATCACAACATACAAAGAAGAAAAAAATAATTTATAACTTAATTGGAACTTTGACCACTGAAAGGCTCAAAGAAAGATGGAATAGCTCGGTTGTGGTATTTCACCGTAGAAAGCAGGAGATTTTTGAGAAATGGAAGGTGGAGGGAAAACCAATAGGTTGGAATAGAAAAGATAGCATGGATGGAGAAAGCTGTTTCGCAAGGTGCTGACCCTGGCTGGGGAAGAGATTTTTGTATGGTAGTGCAAGCATATAAGTAGCTCCACTTTCTGCTATGAAGTACCTATATTCTTGAAGTAAGGAACTGGATGCTTGACATTTTGGGAAAGGATAATCAACAATTTGGTAATTGGCAGAACCAATAATGTTAGTAACAATAATTAAGCGTGATAGAAGTTGAGACCCTTATAAAATCATCTCTGGCCTCCCCACAGGCAGAGTCTCAAGAAAGAAAGTGAGAGGATACTTATGTAAAGACCTGGAAGAGCAATGTTGCATATTTACTTTTACTTGATCTATTTTGCCTTTTCTTTACTTTTTTTCTTTTCAAAAAGGAGACTTTTTAAGGCATTTTTAGCTAAATCAAGAGAATGCCCAAAACCTTTACTTGCTGAAGAGTCACCAATGTCAAACTAAACCTGGATCTAAAAGTACCACAGGCAGTGTGAGAAAAGGTTGGCAGAGGGCCAGGTTTCCATAAGTTTTCTCTTAGAAACGTTGTCGTATGCAAGTGACACTGCCAGCTCTGGACATGTGATACTATGTTTTTCTCAAGTCCCAAATTCCTGGAAGCAAATAAATTAGGTGAGGTTCTCACCTGGCATTTTAATAAAAGAAAGCATATTTCTAGCACTCTGTTTTCATTGTTTCAGGTTTTCCATTGTTGACTTTCATTATTTTTGATGGATTTTCTCATGTTTTTTTGCCCTTGAATACCATGGAGAAGATCATTCCCAAAAAATGACCCAGCACCTGGGTCCCTGAGTACCACGGTGGCCAGGGCACCGACCCCTGGGCTGCCCCGTGCTCAGGCTCACAGTGAAGGTAGACACACACTTACTTTGAAGCACGAGTCTGCCCGGGAGGCTCCGTCCCAGCCTTCGGCACAGGCAGCTGCAGGGACCTGTATCGGAGGAGCAGGAGGCGGCACTCCCTCTGCCTGCTGTTTGCAAAGATAATTTGCTGTCTTCTCACAGCTAACAACATCCCATAATCCAGCTGCAATTCCAGTTCCCATGGCAACACAGCCTTGCTCTTTTCCTTTTTGATATGGAAAAGAAATGAGTAAAATGGAAGTCTTAATTGCTCTCTAAGAAATGAGACCTTTGCTTTTATTCACAGAAAATGATGAAAAGGAAGATGAAGATTATGCAGACTAAAAACCATCCTGGATATAAAATTATTTTTAACACCTCCTGCCAGAGCCCAGATATGGGCCAATGAGCCTCACAGACGCAGATGGCCTGGCAACTACTTTGGGGTTCTCAATATCCAGGTAATTCAATTTCAAGAAGGCTGATATCAAGTACAACAAGTTTGTTTTAAGGCATAACTAGCTAGTGAAGGCAAGAGTTCTCACATAGATGCTAATCTGTTTTGCTGAAATGCAAAACAGCTGGACATTTGCTGCTCATTTCTCACATACGCACCTTGTGGGTCAAAAAACTGTCCATAATAATTTTTCTGAATCTGATGAGTTGTTGTTAATTGGTGTTAAAAAGTTGAAAGAAATGAGACCATGGACCTTGTTAACTCCTGCACAGTATTGCCTTTAGTCTAACCCATTAAAATCTGTTTCTGTACAGCTTCGCAGGAGATTGACTTACACAACACCCGACACTCAGCTGTGACGGTGCTTGTTGCACTGGTGTCAGACACAAGCTCTGATGGTATTGGCCACCTATAGCTACAAGCACAAAAGAAAGCGCCTACTCTAATTTCTAACACCGGGGGATGGAAAGCAGAAACCAGCATGAATTGCAGCTGCACTCCTATCACAAGGGTTGAGGCCGTGCAGAGCTTACCTGGCATTGCTGTGTTCCAGTGTGTGAAGAGAGGAGTTTCGCCACTGGTCCACCTGAAACTCCCTTGTTCTTCTGTGTCGGAGAGACCGATCCAGAAATATTTTTCAGACCTCAGCCCCGTCAGACTAATCAGAAAGGCTTGCTCATTTCTGAAGTGGAAAACAGTGTTCATTCACAACCTATTACCTTGCAATATTAATCTAAAAGTGGTACAAATAGAAGTATCACTATCATGCTAGCAGGACCCCAAGGCAACAGCTCCTCAGTGAAATTGAGGCAAAACCTCATCAGGCTTTTAAGTGTGGTCAAAAGAATTTGGTGAGGGACAACCTCCTCCTTTCAGCGGAAGCATCTTCTCTCCTTTCCACCCAGTTCTGTGAAATGTTGCAAATCACTGCTCACATGGGCTTCTAGTTGTATTTTACTGTTTTCCTTGCCTTTCCAAATCTTTGACATGCCCCAAACAGACCACCAAGTCAGGACCAAACTCTCAGCTTTGCTAGCCATCGCCTCTGAGGGCAGTCATGTTCCTCAGAGGCCATAAAGCCTGCAAAGCCTGACTGAGATATGGGTACGTTGGAGATGATACATTCTGGCTGTGGTGGGACAGGTCCTGGGGATGATTTCCTACATTTGTTCAGAATTTGGCTTAGAAGGTAGTTTAGGAAAATATTTTTGTTAAAGCTTTACTATCATAATGAGATAACACCCATCAGTAAATAGATGAAAATTGTAGTAACTACTTTCCAACAGAAAAAAAACCAAAAATAACATAGAAGTTGCTATAATTAGGAATTGAAAGATAAGAGAAAACTGTTTAACTCAAGAACCCCCCAAATTTGAAAACTGTTATAATAGATTAAGTAAAACATTGAGTCTTTTTTTTTTTCCTGCATGGATAATTTTACTTGGCTTACTGCTACAAATTTTTTGAAAAGTGCTAATAAAACACTTCGAAGAGTTCAACAAATGGACAAGTTTTGCAAGTTTCTCCATCAGAAGCACTGATTTTGAAGTATAAAAAAAGATATTTTCCTACCTGCTTTCCACTGTAGCTAGATAAGCTTTGCTCTGTTCACATGTCTTATTTGCTTCTGAGAACGTCAAAAATGCAGAGCCCACCAAGTAACAGTGAAAACCATATCTTTTCCAACCCTGTGACAAGCATAAGGTTCTTAATGTGAAATTGGAAGAGACTTCAATATAGAAATCAGCTCTGCTCTTTTGTGTATAAATATTGGATGTTAAATTTGTTGCAGCTAAGCTTAAAACCAAGATGAGACTGGACCGATCTGTTAATAAACAAAAGCTGGTGGTTTTTTGTTGCTGTTTGCTCCTACAGAAGGCCTTTTTTGTTTAAAGGATGACATTAAGATCTTAGTTTTCGTCTCTTTTACATGTACATGACTTTTCAAAGAAAATTATGACTGTGCTATTTGTTATTGCTTTCCAGTGCTCTGTAAGGCTGGGATTATGCAAACTGCACCATATCGAGCCTGTGATTCATTCAGGGGGGAGCTGCAGCTCCAGCCTTCCAGAGCTGCGGGATCTGACATAATGAAATAAAAGATACTGCAATATGGAAATGAATTCACATAGAAGCACGGCTCCCCAAAGCTGCCTCTGCCATCCATAAGTGCAATGGGTGAAGAGACTTTCTGAGCCAAGACAAATCTGGTCAGTGCTTGTTTGTGGGGAGGGTAGAAAGGAGGAATATCAGTAAAACGCCTCTGCTTCCTCCTGCTCTTAGAGAGATCTGTGCTGACCAATATAGATGCAATGATTTTCTGAAAAGGTCAATTCTGGAAAAATTACTCGTTTGGAAAAATATAACCTGCTGATATCACTCAAAGGCCAACTAAGTAGTCCTTCGGTAGGAGTATGGTAAGAAAAGCTGATCCTTTTCTGTTTTGAAATTATTTTCTCTCTTTTATTGTTCTTATATAGTAAGGACTTTATAAAGACTTTAAATAGACAGCAGATCTGAGAGAAGAGGCAAAGTGGCTTTTGGTAATTTTACATTTATTGTTAGGCTAAGAGCATAAACAGAGAGAATAGTAGTGAAATTATGATTTAAAAGATATATGTAATTTTGTCACAGGGTGGCTGATCTGGGAATAGAAAGGCAGTATTCATGTACATGTAAATGAATCTTGACTTTCTTGAGTATTTTCACAGCAAAAATGAAAAATGCACCTATATTAGTAAATTGCTAGTAGGAAAAGACTAGGTTTCCTCAAGAGTAGATTTTCTAGAAGATACAAACACAAAGGCTCTAAAAGAAGCAAGAACCAGTAAATTAATTCCTGCTCATTTTTCCCAACATAATTAACTTATGAGAGAGCCTTTACTTTCAGGCAGCCTGGGTCCTCGATTGTCTCTTTTTCAGACGATTGTGATGAAGGCTTCTTTTTACAGATGTAACCAAGTTGCGTATCACAAACATCAGTTGCCCAGTATCCATCCTAGAATAGCAGGGAGAAGAAACAAATGTAAAAAAAAGAGCATTCATAAACATAAGAAAACTAGTGGTTTCCTCTTTATTCACTACAAGGCCCACTGAAATATGCTACCTAGGAAGGCTATAGGATCATTGCTGGAGATTTATTTAAAAAAAAAAAAAGACACATCTGTCAGGATTGGTTTAAGATCCATTTGATGCAGTTTTGAGATGAAAGAGGGAAAGAAATAACATCTTGAAGTCTTAGCATTACTTGCTATCGTAACTATGTATTTAATGAGAGGTTTTGTAAAGATATATCTCATTTGGGGCTAATGGATCTGCATTTAGAGCAGGATTATTTCACTACACTTCTGGAAAAAAGATCAATGAAACTGAAATAATACACATCCGAGTGTGTTGCAGTAAATCTAACTATTTTATCCATCAAGGAGAAGACTTTGAAAATGACTGATTTCTTTTAAAAACAGAATTATGTAAAAAATAAAAATTAAATAGGAGCTTTTTTTGCCCATAAAATCTGGTTTAGGATCAATTCTATTGATGCCTAATACTGGCAAACATCAATATTATTCTATGATATAACAGTTCTTTCAATAACAGTATTTCTTTCATAACAGCATTTTCAATTTGTTTCTTCTAAAATTCATGACACTTTTTGTGTGTGTGTGTGTGTGCATGCGCATGCATGTAAATGTGTCAAACAATCATGACTTGCAAGAAAATAAAGTTTGCGAATCAAGCAGTCAGAAGTATTATAGGATTTTAGGTTAGGTATTTGGCAGGTAGGTGTTAGTGCTCTCTTTATGTCACAGCTGAAGAAACATGCCCTAGTGCCAGGTCTCCGTGCCTCAATGCCATGTCTCAAAGAAGTGACATTTAGGGACGTAATGGTCTATAGGATTGGAAAATGAGGTATGCAAATAGCATCTATGATAACCGCACAATGTATTTACTAGTTCATCCCCATTCCTCTCCCAGAGCTATAACTTTTTTCATTGCTGCAGCCAAGAGAATGAATCTAACGTAAAATTTCTGATCAGGCTTTTCACCAGATAAGAAAACTCAAAAGGTAGCACTAGAAAAATGCTACCTCTCTATTTCTGATCTCTCCCATCCTCTGAACATCTCTTCTGGTTGATGCCAAATTTATGGGGAAAACTATTTTAAGCTAAGATATAGAATGACTCCTGAATAAGTATATAAAGGCAAGTGATTTCAGACTGATGTAGTTATTAGTTTGCATTACTATAAAATGACTGCATGGTTGTACCTGCCCCTTCATAACCACACAGTCCTCCAGACCGTTTCTGTAGGTGGGATGCCTGCGCTGCCATTTGGTGAACGTCACAGGAGTCCCGTCACTCCACTCGAAATAGAAGTGAGCCTTCAGGTCATTCAGACCCAGCCATAGCTCTTCTGTTGGCTCTGAAGCATGAAAAGAAAAAGGGCTGGTTACGGTCTGCTACGCAATACAGTGAACAAACAGGGACTGATAAATTTGGGATGTGGTACATGAGAGGTGGTCTTCATGCTTTAACAAAAATGCTGGTTTCCTCTCTGATCTGCAGTAAGAGATGTCTTCTGTACTGAAAAGGCTCAGATTCTGTCCAGAAATCCTGAGTTTAATAAACACAGGGCTTTTTATGGCTGGCATAAGATTTCTGCAAACTTTCCAAGTATCTGTGACTTAGAACAACAAAATGGCCCCTAGCATGGAGGGTAGGACAGTGAGTGGCTGTGAGTGTCCCTGCCCGTCAGGGGATCACACTGAGCCCAAGCCACGAAGACATCTGCCAATACATCTCCTTAATGGGGAAGCATTAGAGGGCTTGTAATGGCCTGTCAAGGGTGTTCACCAAGTCCAGCACGTGCAGCAAGCGTCAGGACTGGTTGCTACAGATCCAAGGAAAATCAGAAGTTAAAAGATATTATTTTCTTAGAAGGAGGTATAGCAAGATGTTAACCTCAGTAAGAGGTTTTTATCTCAGCAAGAAGTTAAATTTCTTCTGTGTTTGGAGCTCAGTTCTGAAGATATTGAACATAGAATAAAGATGCCAAAAGTGCAATTTATAGAGATCTTTATGTGTCTCTGTTAGGAATACCATTTTTTTTTCTTTTCCCACTTTATAATGTTTTACAATGTAGATTATTTCTTGATAAATATAAATATACTTCTATGTTTATGCAACAGCAACAACATAAAAGACCACCATAATTCAGATTCAGCCTTCCACTTTTGACATTTCAGAGAAAGCATTAATATTTAATATGAAGCCCAGCTTTTACATTACAGATGGGGCAAACACAATACAGGCCTACATATATACTCACTGTAACCAAGCTGTGACACTAGAAAACTGTATTCAGCAATGTTGTGGACACTTGCCAAATCTCCATCTTGCCTCTTACATGAAGTCAGAGCATCTTTCCATACTTTGGGTTCCCGTTGAATGCTGTAGCAGTGGCCTGCGTATGGCCACCAGCCATCTGGGCACTTAATAGGTCTCAATTCCTCTAAAATCAAAGCACAATTTTTCAGAGCAATTTTGTAAGAGGAAAATAAAGGACACTAGAATGAGGTCTCTCAAGCACTCTTTACAAAAGTGGGACTATATGAATAAACATAAAGCTGTAGTTAGAAATGCAAATACATTCAAATGAAAAACAAATATCGTTAAGGCACAGTATGCTAACTATGCAAATAGAACGATGTCCCCTTAAGCAGAGAATCATTGAAAAATGCCCACATTGTGTCAGAAATACAATTTGAAATAATGCTCTGGGAGGAAAGAGAGACCAAAGCAGACGTCCGCGTCTCCCCTCTTCGCCCCCGAGAGCAGTTCGGTCAGTGTGTCATGGTCTCCCGTGCTGCATGCAGTGGCTGACATTAGGCTCTGCCTCCTGTTCCATGTCTTCTTGCAAACACACATAATTTTTGGATATGGAAAAGTGTGAAGTAATTCTTTGATAAGTGCAAGGCGGTAAGGAGTGCAAATTAGTGCAGAGTTGGTCATTTTCTCTTCATACTAATTCAGTGGCTTTTTTATTACTTAGATTCCTAAATATCTTTAAAAGCTTACCTTTAAGTTTGCTTTAAAAAGAGAGTCCTGCATTTCTTTTTAAGGTTAATAGGGGAATAAGGATTCTCTGAAATTATTTCTCTACTTTCTTTAATATAACTACTTCTTTAAAAGTAGCTTTTACAACATTCCCAGATGACAGCCTCCAGCAGATCCCTCCTGCGTGTGCCGTGTTCCTAGCCACGTTGTGTCATTGAAGCCCCAGGTCGGAGTGGCCCATGGATGAAATGTAGCCTGTGTGAATACTGCTGCTCCTCCTGCTCTGCTCATTGCATACTGTTTCATCAGAGGAGGATTTTCTGCATTAATATTAGAATAACTGCAATTGCTCATTTGGAGCAAATGAGAAGAAAATGAGAAGCATAAAATTTCTACTGTGTTTATGCAAATTTGGTTGCTGGCACTGGTTACCAGCAGCTTTTATCTTGTCTTGCAAAAATGAATGATAGAGTGATGGAACAAAATAATAATATTCTTCTATGGATGGTTAATACACAATGGGAGGACAAAAGCAATATCTAAAACTCTGTGTGCTCATATATAGCTGTGTTTTTCAAAGGTTTCTAACATCTTGGTTGAAAAATAATGTTGCATACCTTTTATCATTTGCAGATCTTTACAGATTGGTCTTTCTAAAAGTCAAAGAAAAAGCTTCTTTTTATTTGACTAACCTACCTTTGGGTATAATGTCAGTCTTTAAACTGAAGTTTCTCTTTTTGCAAATGTAGCCGAGTCTCTGGTTACATGCTTGGTTTTCCCATTTAGCATCTTTTCTGGGATTCATCACTCCACAGATTTTCCCAGGGAGCGGGAAAGGACTTCCTTTGAGTAAGAGAGAAAACAGAATCTCACAGCAAAAATAAATAAAAAGATTAACAAAGCCATCATATTATCAGTAGAAACATCAACTTATTCTGATTTCTTCAATGTTTAATATGAAGAAGCCCTCTCCCATAGGATAACTGGTGTTGTAGTTTATAGGATGCTGCTTTTAGTCTATGCTTTGAGAAAGAAGTAATGACCCTCCATTGACTTTGTGTCATGAGAGTACTGTGAAATTTCTGGTTCTTTTCCTGATATCCTGGTGCTCACAGACAGAACAGCTGAAGCTCGAGCACTATGCTGTGTCAAAAAATTCCAAACTTTAAAAATATTCAGTTTTAAATTACACCATCCTTTCAGTATATCTCAAGAATTTCACAATTCTACTTTCCTATAAAATAGCTTTTCTCTTTTCTGTTGCAGTGTGTAAAAACCTCTGTAAGCAGCAAAAGAAATTGCCTAATACAGAATTTTTGAAAACTTAGAGGAGAGTTTAATTATTCCTTTAGCACCTTGTAATTTTTCCAAATCAGGAGACAGCTTGAAATACTCATGGCACAAATTAAACACAGGGCCAAAAAACCAACAAGCAAACAGAAGAACTCCCCACGTGTGAGGAGCACCACAGACCCACCCGTGTCTCCCTTCTTCGAAGGCCCAGTGCAATTTTGCGTAAACTGCTGGGGAATTATGAGCTGGCTCTATAAGCCTCTCAATAATATTTAAATTTCTCTAGACAACATAGCGCCATTATTTTCTAAATATTTTGCTACTTTTGGAAGATTTGATTTATATTTATACTCTTGGGCAACATGTTATGGAAAAATTCTGATCTCTGGTCTGGAGGGTTATATATCACTCCAAATGATACCCTGCTTTCATAAACAAGTTCTTTGCTTATATAAGAAAATAAAAGAACTTGCTATAGCTGTGAACTTTGTGATTTGTAATTTGGAAGTGTACTTCTTAAAATAAAAATCTAGATCTTCAGCTATTGTAAATCAGAATGGGCTTTCCTGTTTTTAGGGTAGTTTTTATTAGTTGGTGTCTTATCAGAATCCATTCAAAGATAACAAAATAGATACAGTTCTTACCTGGAGCCCAATTTAAATATCTGAAAGGGCTGCCCCCAGCCCATTGCCATCCACTGTTGAAATTCAAAGTGTTCAATCCAATCCAGAATGCAAAACTAAATTTTTTAGTTAGCTCTAAATTAGAAAAAAAAGTCAGTTGTATCTCCCTGTTCTCACTCTTAGCAAGTTCATCTAAAAGAAATAAAGTCAAAAGTAAGAAATTTATATTTCTTAGTTTAAACCAGCCCCAAACCGGTACTTTCTGCATTACTGATTAAAAAGTACATAGATTAAAAAAGTAAAATGAATAAATATTGATTCAGCAGAGATCTCAGTAGCTAAAAGGGCAAATGAACATCTTATTTCACTACTTAAATAAGAGTATACTTCTCTCACTTTGTTTCATTACAACATAAGAGATGCAAAAAATACCTTATTTTCATTAGGGAATTGTGCTAAAATGTTTCTGTAACAGATTTCATGGAGTAAACACATCCAAAAGACAAAGGCAGTGTGCCAATTAGTTGCTTCCAGATTTTTTTCTATGTGAGTGGTTTCAAAGCCTCCTTCACACCATTTATAACCAAATTGATACCATGATACTTGTATCTGAAATCCAATGGAGTTATTTGGAGTTTATGTATGCAAATGTACCTATATTAAGACCAACCTAGCAATTATCATATGTTCTTCTAGAAAGATAATAATCCTTGAAACACAGAGGAAAAAGGTAAATTCGAGGAGCAGACCATAGTCCTGCTCAGGAATGAGTGCACCAGCATGAAGGCAAGCAGAGCAAACCCTCCCCCTGGGACAGGCTGCAGAAGATGCCGTAGCTCCCGCCTGGAACACAAAGGTGGAACGGGGCCATTTCCCCCCCTATAGAGGTTTGGGACCAACCCTTCATAAAAAACATTCTAGTGGAAGGGCAGTTCAGACCGTCTCCCTTTTGGCAGCTGCTGAAAAAAAACTCTCTTCTTCGCTGAGACAGAAGACAAGGCAGCCAACTTCATCGTCTAAAGCTCTGGGGCAATATATTTTAAGGTCTTGTTCTCTATCATTTTACCTCCTATATATGCTTGCTCATGAATCTCTGTGATGCTTAGTAGATCTGCATTTTGCTGCCGACAGCTTTTGCTTGCTTGGTGCCATGTTAGAGCTGATTCTGAGTTTATCTGATAGTGAATGCCAGTTGAAATATCTTCTGTCCAAAATCTTTCTGTGTCATCTGGAAGAAGAAGTGACATAGAGCAGTGCTGCTAGAGGATTGACATTGCACCAACTAAAAGCAAACGAAGTACGTAATGATACAAAATCTGTAAAAATGCACAGTATTAACTGTATGCTATCATCAATTTTAATGCAGAAAAACTGAAATCAGATTAGGCATGAATTAAAAAAACCAAAAGTGTAATTTTTTTGAATTTAAAATCATTATTTTAAATTTCTAAGTTTTTAGAAGGGAGTGAATGGGTTTCCAATATTTGCTTTTAAATTTTCTTTTACACAAAATGTAGTAGTAAGTAAACTAGACATATTTGTTGATTGAAAAAAGAGATTCCGGGGTGAAGTCAGAGGAGGAAAGTAAGTGTGTAGATGAAATCTGACCCTGGAGGCTCTTTGTCCCTGCGGGGCAGGAACTCTCTTCTAGCTCACCGTCAAGAGAAGCAGCTTTTTAAAAAATGGCAGAACCTGGCCCTTGACAGCCCGAGGAGCTATAAAAAGAGTCTGTGTTGCACCAACGTGCAGATCAGCTGCAGTCTCTTTTTTGCAGAACAACTCACAAAACCTTGTGAAACTGTTGTGTTACTGGGAAGGCAGTGGTGAGAAAAGTGATACAGTTTGTCCCCTGAGGTGGAGGGATCCAAACTTAAGTTTGGTGCAGAAGATAGATAGTACAAAGATGGGAGAGGAGGATAATTTTAGCAGCAGCATTTTTGTGTAGGCTGGCAATAGGGGACAAGAACAATATAGGAAATGGATGTTAAGGGGAAAAATCAGTATATAGCAGTTTAAGTGAAAATTGACCTACAGGACACGCCTGAGGAATAAAGAGCAATGGGAATTTTTTGAAAGGAAGGTATTGGTCTAAATTCACGCTGGTCATGCCATGCATTTAAGTCACATAAAATGAGCTATCAAAGAACCTCCTCACCTCTCTGGTCCACAAAGAGAAACAACCACCTCCAGCAGGTGAGTCAGAACCTGGCTGGGCTGCACCACGCTCTGGAGGCACCTCTTCCTCTCCACTGGCTATAGAGGGAGCACTTGGCTACTCAGGCTAAGGTTCAGTCAGATGATTTTAATTTGGGCTGCTTTGACAAGGTTTGTCATGAGGATGCGCAGCTGGTAGCTGATAATGAAGCTGGTAGCTCAATAGGTAGCTCAACAATGTTTCATGACAACAAGCTGATAAATAAAATGCAGAACTTACTTATTAGTGGGCAAAATCCATACAGTTTGTCAGCATCGAAGTCTGCAGTTGTCGCACACCAGAGCCAGCCATCTGACCTACCAGCATCTGTGCATCCATTGTACTGTTTGCCTTCATATTTGAAAGGGAATACACATGGCTGTCCATTGGCATTTCCTTGTAATGTAAAGGTATCTAGGGGGAAGAAACGGTTAAGAAGACATGTGAAAATAATCATAAAATCATAAATCTGACTTTCTAGTAATGGATCTATCTATCAGTATATTTGTCTATCTAAACTGAGGGGTCACACCATCTTTTTAAATTAATTTTTATCATTTTTCCCCCTAGTGTAGCTAGAGATTTTAAATAAAGTGTTGTTTTAGTAAAATTTGGGGTTTAAATACTGTGTTTAGAGTTTGAGATATATATCTTGTAGGAAACTAAAATTCTGTGATGATAAGTTGCTGATAAGTTGTGGTTCCTGAAGATGGAAAAACCACAAGTAGATCTCGGATAACAAGGAGTTCACTGCATTGTTGTATTCCATACGGCTCAATAGGTTCACTTTATCACTCCATCTTTTCATTAATTGTTTAAAGAAAAAGGATAGCAGGCCAGAGAGAATACAGATCAGGTTGTCATGAGCATATTTACACAGTAAAAATTTTGGGTTTCAATTGCACATTTCTGCACGTGGAGAGGTCTTGCGGATTCACCCTCAACTCAGATTCTTTAAGGTTAGCAACGCTTCATCTTTTTAAACTATCACAGTATTACGGGAGTGTTCTTTCATCCTGAAATTGCTGATATACACTCTCAGTCTCACATTCATGCAAACACATTCATCCGCTCAGTTCTACATGCATTACTGCTTTACCGTTTCTCTCTATAGCTATACCCAATGAGTGATATACATTCTCAGACTAGAACTGCTCTTCTAATTTGGTCAGACTGGAGGGGAGGAGCCAGTTTTTCCTTCTCATACCTCATGTCTTGGAGCAGAAAAAGAAACTTGCACAGCTATCATGAAAATACGGCTCTAAAACTCTTTGACTGATCACTGCACCATGGGTGTGATGGGGAGGGTAAATGGAAAGAGCTCCATGCTTCCTCATCTCTCATCGCCCTCCCATGCAGTGCCATCTGATTTAATACTTCCACAGAAAGAAATTCCAGTTTAAAGATCCTGCTCTTATTACCTCCATTTCCCCCAACATCCCTACATCTCCCCTGTTTTATTCTGTGAATCAAGAACTGTCAGGATAATACCCAACATACTCTTTAGATCATGCATCAAATCTGATAACAAAAACAAAATAATCAGTCTATGCATTAAAACCGTAAGGCTGCCCAAGGAAAAACATTTTCATATCTAGTTTAACACAAAACCAAAAGGAAACTTACCCGGTGACTGTAACGAACCGTGCACGAGGGTAAGAAAAACTAGGAACCTGGAGAAACTCATTGCAAATGAGTTTGTTTTTCATTCCTCTACCAAAAGTTGGACTATAAGATTGGCAGTGTGTAAAATCCTTCTGAGTGAGGGTAGTAACAGGTCCTTCTCTGTGTCAAAGGGTTGATGGATAAAGCTCTGTATTCTAAATAAGGAAATATCCTGTCACATGTTATTTTGAAATAACTAGAATGCACATTGCAAACACTGCTCTCTTTGAAGAGTGAGTCGCTTCCAAAACTGAAGTCTCCATCCTTGTAACTAGATGTAGTGACATTCATCTTTTTCTGGGACTTTGCTAGTATTATATACAGGTCAGTTGTTGGGGTGCTACACAGGATGGACCTCTGAAAAAGCAACTTGAGAATTGGTGAAAAGAAACCTGCAGTGAAATATCATCGATTAAAAACTCAGTCTCTGCTTTAACCCTTACATCTCAGAAATAAAGCGAGACAAAACCATGTAGGTTCAGTACATCACTATAATGTCACAGTTCTACATATCTAGAAAAAAGAGAGCAAATTTTACAGGATCTGTGGTATTCAGTGCATTATGGATTATTGCTCACTTTGAGGGCTAAAATTGGTTTTTTTTCTGCACTGTTACACTGCTTGCTTTGATCACAGTTTGAGGCTGGGCTGTTTATAACTACTTGTAGAAGATCTGAAAGAAGTGATGTTCAATGCTATAGGCTAGTGGCAAGCTGTAACAGGAGGGAAATTTTTGCCTGGAATACTTTTGTCAAACAAAAGGATGTGTTCTTCTATCTGAGAAATTCCTAATGAAGGTGTTCCAGGACAAAGCCAAAAGTAAGCTAAATTGGAAAAGCTCCTTTTAGTCTGTGAGCAAAGTGCTCATCTGAAGACTTATATTGGCATGGCAGTTCTTGTACAACTACACTGCAAAGCTGTGCTGGCAAATTTTCACATGCAGACAAGTCCTACTGTTCCTTCTTTTTATTTACATCAGTGAAATTAAAAGAAGTTGTGATAGCGAAATTGAAAAAAACAAGTGAAATGGTCAGTAGTGAGATATATATAGAAGCTGAACAGAAGATGTCATATGAGGAAGCAAACTATCTTTGCTTTTATTTATAAGGTGTTAGGGAAAATTATTGCAAGAACTGGCTAAACTTGTTGACTGTTAGAAAGTACTAAGAGAGAAAAATATTTTCAGAAAAAAAATGGCTGGATTTCAGTAAAAGTAGGAATTGAATAAATTGTTTAGCAATAGCTATTCTATTTGCAGGTGATATTCAAGGAAAGTTTAGTGTGAGGAAGGCTTGCAAGAGCAGCCAAAGGTCGTAAAGCTGAGTGGTGCCACAGACAACAATGGGGTGGGAGAGGAATAGAAGCTGAGTTTACTGAGTGAAACCATATTTCAGATACATCTGAAATCTCAAAATGAAACAGCTCCAACAGAGAGGATCCCAAGGGAAAATACCTGGAGGACACAATTCCTGCCTCATTCCCTCCTCTGCCTCACAAAGTGGACCTCAGCCACGCTCCGGTCCAAACTGGGCTTTATTCCCCCTCTTGTGTACATGGATGCTTGTGAGGATTCAGCTCCCCAAGGCTGCAGAGTGATGGGGGCAGATTAGTGCAGACACTGGGGTAGGCTAAAAGAAGAATTGAGCACTTCAGAGCTGCCCTTTTCACATGACCAACGAACTTGGTGCTGGTTACAAACTTTTCCGGGTCAGTGTCCTGCGTGCTGCATTTCACTTGTGCAATAACCTGTTCTTATGTATTTATGCCAAGAAAACAGGAGCCCAGTGCCTAGAAAAGAAACTTCATTATTTTTTTATTATTATTTCTTTTAACTTTACAGCTTGCTCAGTAGACCATGTGCACCCTGGAGAAGGCAGGTTGTTTGCTGAGACAATTTGCTAAGCACTCTTCCCCATAAAGTGTTTAGTGTCTAAATTATATTGGCAGCTCACCTAGAAGCTATTTTGTACTGCTTTCCACTGTTTTGCTAACATCTTAAACTTAGTCTTCTTACAGATTCATAGTACAGTATCATCTGCTACATTCCTTAGTTTTCTGTTCCTTTTTCTCGCACTTAAAAATGGCACGTTGGTGTTTGTTCAAGCTGAATTCGAAGTGGCGGGGAGAGAAGTTCTCCTTGTTGTTGACAAAAAAGTTATTGAGCAAACAGGAGCACCTCCCTTCCCCTTTCGTCTCACTTGATTCACAGGGAAGTCTGACACTGAAAATTATACTTATAAAAACTTTATTTATTTCAAAGCATTAACAAAAAGAAGGAAGAATGCAAGGGTAAGAATATTTTAATTCATATTACAGTTAACAATCATGTTATCAGATTGAAATAAGACCAAAACCTACACCTGAGCTTAATACCCTTTGCTGGTATGAACTGTATTTTCCATAGCAGAAAATGAAAATGGCAAGGTTTTCTATCCCAAAGTTATCTGAGATAAGTATATGAAGCACCATTTTATAAGTGTAATAGGATACAGATATAAGGAACAATAAAAGTGCTGGTCTGATGGAGTGAAGTTTGTGGGGCAAAACGAGTTCAAGACTGTAACAGAGTTGGGCAGATTTTATTTTTTGCAGTACCCACAAAGTTCTCAATAGTAATTTCACTTTATTGAACATTCATTCTCACTAGTTGACTTTTACAGTCCTTTGTCGGTACGTTTATTTATTCTTGACAAGTTATTTACACTAGTGTTTTTGCTAAGACACTTGAGAACATCTTGACTGTTACAAAATTATAACTTCAATCTGTAATTCTGATTTTGTAAAATATGCATGATATAAAGGAGTCTGCTACTGCAAAAAAGAGAAAAGGGATTTAATTTAAGATTACAGATATCCTCACTAGAGACTTTTAACAGATACATCCTTTCATTTCAGCAAGTAAGTCGCTCCTCTGAATTGGTACTTGCCACAGGACCCATTCTCACCAATTCTTCAGTCATCGACACATCATTTTAGAAGTGTTTCATTGCCAGAATCTGTTGATAGTTGGTTTTGCTTTTTTCTCTTGTAGAAATAGACTGACATGCCAGCTCCAAGAAGAGCAAGAATAGCCAAGAAAATGAGTGGCCAAATGGAGACATGAACAGGGTGAGTCTCTTCATTCTTTTCCTTGCCTGAAATGAATGCATAAAACTGTGAGAAAACTTAGTAATTTTTTATTCCACATACAACATGAAAAACATGCAGGAGAATTTCTCTCCTGCCTGAACTTGGAGTCTGTTCAGTGTAAATCTGAACCCTGAATTGCTGCTGATCAGTAGCCAGCTCTCTGTTGCTAAAGCTCACATGGTTTTAGTGGATCTGGATTACAGTAATATACGGTGCCTGCAGTGGACGCTTGTAAGAATTTAATGAAAATGCATGCTTTAGATATGGATATGGGATGCTAATTATTTGGGAATTAGTTTTACAATATTTTTATGTGACATTATTTACACCACCTTTGGAAGAAATTTGCCTATGCATCTACATAGGTTTTAACAGCCTAGCTAAAGCTCTCTGTGCTTGTTCTCAAAGTTAGTCACAAGTTGGGTCACTGCTGAGCTTCTCAGCTCAGGGTTAGCCCTGCAGCAGTCCAGTTGACCAAGAACATATGAGTACTTGTGTGCACATAAAAGGCACCATGGGATTACCCGGAGTGATTCATAACCATGCATCCAGTAACCATCAGCAGGACTTGTTCTCTAAAAGGGGGTAATTTGGAAAACTCATTTTAAGTTCTTCTTGTATCTGGATTTCTGTTAATTTTCTTATGAAAGCTCTTACCTTTTTGCTGTAGAGGACTCTCACTCGGCTCAACTTCAATGAATATCAGAGAGAAATAATATGACACTTCATTAGAATTCGTAAGTTTGACTGTTTTGCTAAAATTATACAGGAACAAAAACCCCTGAAGTATTATCATTGCATTAATAACATATGTCTGTTATAAAAGGCAACATAAGTGAGGCAAAAAATACGTTACTAAGGTTTCACCTTCCTACTTAACTTTACCAAGCTATAATATTCATTCATTTAAAAATTTATGTGTCTTTAGTATTGAAATCATGTCCTTTCAACTTTTCATCCAAACAAAGAAATCTTAAAAATTGTTTTACACAGGAAAAGAGGTTTTCCACATAGGACAAAGATGTTCCCCATGATTTACTGGGGACAATGCACTATGCAAAAGCTGGAAGATTAAACCTGATCTCACAGCTACTACAAAAGAATGTACAAAGGTTTAAAGAGGGCAACCTACCATTTTTTAGGTGAGATTGATTTTAACACCTAATTTAAGAGAATGGAATGATAGTGCTTTCTTTCAGGCAATTATATCTTTTTTATCTCCACTTGGGAATAGTACATGTGTTTTTTTACTTCTGAAACATTAGTCTAGCATATACCCTATTGCATGAAATTTTCCAGAAAAGCTGAGAAGACAGCTTCTGTAATGACTTGAAGTTTTCATTTGATAGGGAAGTATTCCTTACATTATTATTGCAACACAAAGAGCTGGCCTTTTAGTATCCCTGAGGCATTACTGACTTAAAGGTTGTTGAATCAAGCCCAATATGAAGCCAGTTTTTGACCTTGGGCAGTAATACAGTTTTGGAGTACAACAAGCTTGAAGACGAAGCTTGATTATTCGTATTAATTTCTCCTTTCAAGGGTATAATAACTGTTACAATACTTAGTTCCTGGAAAAGTCGTAAGTTTGCACAAGTGTTTGACAGATGCCATACCAATGCCTGTGTTAGGTATTCAAGAGTTTTCTGAAAGTCTCATTCTCAACTGAGGGGGCATACAGCATGTTCCATGTTCTCATGCGAGCGCAGACAGTGATGTGAAGAGCTCGCAGCCTGCAAAAACAGGCAGCTGCAAATGTTTAGAAAAGTGGGGTATGCCAAACAAAACTGTCAGAAATTCCTTCTAGACATGTGGTGGAGGGCTGTAACAGTTACTAGTAAACAGATCTGCTCAGTCACTGAGGGCTGAGTCGCTAAGGACTTACCTTTGGGT